GAAGTTTTTCCCATTTTTGCGAAACCATAACACTGTACAGGTAGCAATTACCATCCAATATTTTTAACATTTTTATTGGTTGTCCAGCCACAAACCTCTAAAGCAGAAAAATGTTATTTTGTTATGTAATGGCATTATGTTCCTATTTATTAAAGAATTGTTGACATACATTACTATTTATTTTGTGTTAATGGCCAAAAAATTTAAAACAATTACAACAGCGGTGGATATATTGCAATTATGAACCCTTCATACATCACTGTAATAATATAATAATCAAAGAATTCAATTCTACTTTGAATAAGGATTGGGCTTTGTTCACAATTGAGCATGGTCAAATGGAGATAAATGAAAGAAGTTCAGCTATAGTCTTGTTTTTCGTGAAAGAAATACTTGTTATTAAAGTGTTGAGACATGAAACCCTATGATAATTCTATTACCATACTATAATTGTTCACAGTAAATCTACTTATTTGATGTTATAATCATTTTACATGTACATCATCAACTGATTTCTCAAAATATTTGTCATATTCATATCAAGTGGTTTGACTGCGATTCTCTCAACTTATGCTATTTTTTCGTTGATTTTCTCTATTTATAATTTGAATTCAAAAAGCTATAAATAATAAATATTGATAACTGCCTATATCTTATATCTAGGAATCGTTTAGTTTGATCAATTAAGGGAGATGCGGTATCTAAGAGGCATGAATACAAGCCCAACTTCTGCGCCTGCCACCTGTTTCAGTCAACGTCACTCAAGCAGATCAATTGAAGTGAAATGAATGAGCACATGGTATTAGGGTATTTTCATCTATTGTAAATTGTAACTCCCTTACCTTAATAACACACACTATAAATACAACTTAAAGATTACAGTGTGAAACTTGTCACAGAGCTAATGAATCAAGAAAATAAAACAATGGACACTTCCGCATCACTTAATGATCGCCTGTAATCTGTAGAATTAGAATAACTAGTGTCATAGAGATCACGATTACAATGCTACAATACATGATCCTTAGTTCACACATAAAAGTTCTTCAGTACATGTTTACTAAAACTATTAATATAAAGTTTTGCAATCAAAATTCTTTCTTGATTATAGTGTACCTTTTTTAAAACAGCTGCTCTCAAAGAATCCTCATTCTTCCACCAGATACAATGAAATTTAAATGCAATATAAATCAAATTAAATTTTAAAATATTTAAATGAAAAGTCTGGTACCAAACAAAAAACAAAAAAATCAGACAAGTACAAAAATTGAATGATTTTATGTTTTCTATGGGGGGTAGCCCCGGGTAGCTCTATTATATAAAAGCAAACAGTTGGCAAAGGGGACATTTTGGTAAATGATTTTAAATAAAGTTATAGGATGAATACCCCCAAAAAATCTCAATAGATCACAGAAAGAAATTATTTCAATAGATTTCTTAATATTTATTGTGATTTACAAGCATTCATAAAAGTAAAAAAATAATTTCTATATTTGCTTTAACAATGCCTGGATGTCTATTATGAACGCTTAATAGTCTACAAGGGGTCTTTATATCTCAATTACACCAACTCCTATCTTGATTTAAGGCTCATTGAACCTTTTACACAAATTATTTACCATTTACTGAAGTTCTTATCACAGAGAGCTTTTATTCTCTAATCAAATTTGACAAATATCAATTTAATTCAACATTAAAACAGACATCTGACATTTAATGTACAGACTTTTTCATTTAATTTACATAAATATTGTTATGTAGTAAAGAACATGATACTTGATGGGTATTCTAGTTGGTTTTTTTTATTACTTTAAAAATATCAAATCAATATCAAACACAACAAGAGCATTGCTACTTTTAGATGATCCATTCAGAATTCCAGACAAAAAACACAAAAATTGGGCGTGGCTCCACTCCTGGGGGTTGGACATGGACCAATATAAATAGGTACAACACTATCCTAGATCATTCCAAATTGGATCTAAATCTGTTAATAATTGCAACCTGTATATCATTTACAGACAAAATATTAACGAAAAGTGGGTGTGGCACCACCAAAAAAGGGGGGGGGGGATCCTTAGGGTATAAGGAATAAATATACCAAGTTCCAAGATAATTCATTTATAATTGTAGCATTCGGGCAGTAAACACAAAATTTGGATGTACATTGAAGCTCTGCCCCTGAGGGTAGGGACATGTACCAAAATCAATAGTTGGCGTCCTTAGGCTATAAAGAATACATATTTCTTAAGTTCCAAGACGATCCATTAAGAATCGAGGCCTGTATCCAACACACAGACACACAAACAAAACATGGGTGTGGCTTTGACCCTGGGAGTCAGGCAATCACCAAAAAACAATAGGGATCATCCTTACGGTATAAGAAATAGCAGTCTGTAAGCAAAACACACACACAAAAATTGGACGTGGCTCTGTCCCAGGGGGTCGGGCATGCACCAAAAATTATAGAGGTCATCCTTAGGGTATAAGGTATAAGTATGCAAAGTTTTCAAGACGATCGATTAAGAATTGCAGCCTGTAGGTGACACACAAAAAGAGGGTTGGGCATGCACCACAAACAATAGTGATGTTCCTTAGGGTATAAAGAATAAGTATGCAAAGTGTCAAGATAATACGTTACGAAATGCGGCCTGTAGACAAACAAATACAAGAAATGAGTGTGGCTCTGCCCCTGGAGTCAGGCATGCACCAAAAACAATAGGGATCATCCTTAAGGTATAAGGAATAAGTATGTCAAGTTTCAAGATGATCTGTTAAGAATTGCGGCTTGTAGGCGACACACTGACACGCACACATACATACACACAGACAGGGGCGACGACAATGTACGTCCACATTATGAATGTGGAGTATAAAAAGTGATATGTTTGAAAGAAGAACTATTATCTAGGATATCATCCATGGTGGAAGTGGACGTAAAACTCTATGAACGAAAGAAGAACTATGTGGAAATATTGATTACGTCTAACAATTTAACACTTTATTTTTTGTCCGGCAGATAAATAAATATATTGTGCCATATGATGTTTGTTATGAAAAAAGAACACATTGCTGAATAAAGTATGAGGAAATATTCTATGAGTATTACAAATACAATAAAGATGATCGAGCTTTGGATAGATGGGATGTGGATTTGAATTCGAAATAGGTGTAATGGGGAGGAGTAAATACAACATAAAAGATTATATATTACCAACAAATCCAAAATCAGGACCGCTAGCATTTACACACAAATATTTTTGCTGTTAACTGTTCTATTTTCTATACATTTATAAGGCATTCAAAGCGGTCAATAACATTTAACAAAACACATTTCATCGTGACCTACGCTCCCTGAATGAACATGTTAGAACTGCATTTGCTACCAAATGTTGTCTTTTGCAACATCATTAAATCTTATACATGTAATTATACAGTAAAACCATATATATCTGTCTGTTCAGATATTTTTATAAATATGTTTCATATCAAGAGCATTAATGCTGCTTTCAAATATGCGCCACAGTGGAGCAGTTATTAGTTTATTTATCAAACCCAAAGTGATTGGGTCAATCGATTTTCTGCTCCAAAATCATCAAGAAAAGTTTTAATATGGTTGCGGCATTGTGGAAAATGATATTAAACTGGTTACCATGAAATGGCGTTAGTGGTTCGAACCAATCGAACACACCCCAATTCGTTTGGCAAAAATGATGTAGCGGTTTTAAACGTTTGGATCGAGGATGTTTTAAAATACAGTTTTTCAAATTTTTTCAAGTCCAGAGTGCTTTTGTCTGCCACAAAATAATTAAATAAGATACTCTAAAAATAATTCACACCATGTTACCAAAAAGTGTCTGGAAAATAAAGACTACAAATAATAATTTTGTTTCAGTCATTTTCCGTTCTCAAATAGTTCTGCGTATTTAGAGCTAGCAAATATTTATTTCCTAAACTCACCAGAGCGGCACGTCAACGAAGGTTGTAACCACTAAATAAAAGTAAATCTCAAAGTGTTGTGATGAGTTTATCTTGCCATGCTCATGAGTTTGAAAGATAGAAAAGAAACAAAGCTATTACAGCTAGCTCTGTACCAAAATCGGCAAAATCAAAAAATAAATCAACGAGTGCAATCAAAATTTTTGCTCACATTCACTGTAATATAACCACGAAAGTCGAAGCAAGTAATCAGTGTATTTTTTACTTGGCTTTATATACCAATACTTGTTTGTTTAAAAGCTATTTATGACATATATCTGCTGCGATCTCCGACTCCACATGCATGCGTGGGGTTAACCTTTGCTCACTCCAGAGAATCTTCTCCATGGTGTAGTCAGTTTTTATAAGGACATATTACGGAGCCGTGAACCATTCTAGTTATAGATCATATGATTTGTTTTGTTTTGGGTTTTTTTTTTTGGGGGGTGGGGGTCTTGTTTTTTTTCCCCCCTGTCAATGTAGGACGGGGGGTCTGGCAATGAGGTCCCGTGTATACATTGGCATGCACGTAAAAGAACCCTTGACAGTTGTAATTTGAAATAAGAGTAGGCCATAGCACCGCTCTCCGGGCAAAATTTCCTCATGGCAAACTGATTGGTGTATGCCTGTCTTCATTACCACAGTAGGTGCAGAACAGTAGGACATCAAACCCCATTTCATTTCATTTCATTTTCTTCTGTCATTAGGTTCCATAAAATATTTGGGTTTTTGAAATAAAGGTTTTAGCTCTCAAATTTTGGCGCTTTTTAAGAAAGAAAGCCATATCACAACTGTACACATGGATATCTATACTAATATTTGTGACTGTCGTTTGTCTGTTTGTCTGTCTGTTCAGGGTTGGCGGCTACACTAGGGCTGTTCTGAGGCTTGAATTCGGTGTATAGAGGCTAGAGGGGTAGCTTGGACCGAGGAGTAACATGAACTAGGTGGCATTGGCCTACCACTTCCGGTTTCAGAGTTACTGGCACAATATTTATCATCCATTTAAAGGCTGTACTTACTGTTCCTGATAAATAATCTCCAGTATCTCCCCCAGTATTTGTCATTGTACATGTATACTGATAATTATTGGTACAGTTCTGAAATATAAAAAAAAAAACAATTCATTTAAACAGGTCAATATAAGTATAATTTTTGAAGCACCCTTGTCGGTGAAAGATTTACAGCATAACTTCCAAATATAGACAAACAAGAAGAAGAATCTCTAGACTGAACACTGTTAATTACCTTTATTTATACCTTTATATATAAGATCCCAAGAACTTATTTTTTTAAATACTGGTATATGAAATGAACATATTTGTATAATACAATTCTAATACACCAAACCTGAATCTAAACTTTTCAACACCCTTCAATGATTTGAGAACAATGACACGGAAAATACTGGTATATGAAATGAACATATTTGTATAATACAATTCTAATACACCAAACCTGAATCTAAACTTTTCAACACCCTCTAATGATTTGAGAACAATGACACGGAAAATCTAACAACATGTTTTGATTTGCATTTTCAATCAAATAGTATAATATTAAATCTTCATCAAGATAATCCCTAAGTTAATTAGAGAACATAAGATGCAATGAGAAGATTAAAGTAATCAATTTTTAGAAATATTTGCAAACAGAATGTTTTAATGTGGAAGGATTGGTAATTAACTATGTCGTTACAATCAAGTGTTTGCTGTGACAGACAATAATCAAAGACCCCATCTGTCTTTGTTCTCTCATCTCATTCAACAAATGAAGGGTTAATGCCATTGATTTATCATCCTATTGTTATAATTGGCTTCTAGTTATTATTTTACCCTTATTGATATCCGATCTGTTCAATGGTCAACAGCCATTTAGAACACAGAAAATTTAGCTGATTGCAGGATATTAGGTATCAAATCTAAACCTACAATGATGATTCCCTAATAAAATAGTTTCAAATTTTAGAAAAAAAAACCCAACAACAGCAAAAGATGATGTAACTTGTTAGTTACTCGCACATTCTATGTAAAGCATCAAGCAATCAAATTGCATATCTCTAAATAATTAGCCGGAGCCGAAAATTAGTCATGGTATTTTTGTAATGAAAAGTATTAGCTCGTTCGTTCATTCCTTGAGTTTTACTTCCACCAAGGGTGATATCAGCTCTCTCACCAACCAATCAAAGTAATTGTGTTCCAAAGTCTTGACCAATGAAATTTGCTTATCACTTAGCTGAACTTGAGAGAAAAATTTTCATTATCAAACTCAGTGAAGGTATTGATGTGACGAAATTATACACCACATTTCATCACTCTCACTTATTTATAATTAAAGTAATCATGTTCGAAAGCACTGACAAACCAAATCTCTGCTTAGTTTGAACATTCTACATCAATTATATACCGTTCAGATGCTTATTTTTAAACCAGTTCAACTTAAGCGTCTGAACGGGCTTATAATTAGAAGCTAATTGTGGTCCAAAAGGTGTGATGAACAGACAAGCTAGATGAACAACCCAACTGAATATATAGGCCCCTGCATTCTTCAAAAGCAGGGGACAAAAAAATAACAACATATACTCCTTAAACAACATTCTCAAATTAAAGTCAACAAACTTGTCAACATAAACAAAAACTTGAAAGTGAAAGAAAGTCTTCAGCAATTTGTCTAAATGGACAGTGAAACACTAACTTCCCGACAAAAACCATACACAACAGCAGGTTACAATCAGTTCTGTCAAGTAAAAATGCAAATACTATTTTACAGAAGACAGATAATATCTTATTCTCTTTATTAAAAAAAATAATAATAGTAAAATGAACAATATATGCAACTTTTACATTTTAGCCCAAAAAAGTATACATGATAAAAAATAATAACAGCTTCAAAATTTGTGATATTACACATCTTCTGTAAAGGATGCTAGTCAAATATAAATTTCCCATATTTAATAAATTTTGAGACAATATTTATTAAGATATATTTTCACCTTAATGCCATTAGGATTCTATATATCATGTATAATCATTAAAATCAATTATATGGCTATCACTTAATCTAAATATGCTGCCATGTAAGTTTCTCTTCATTTCCAAGCGGCTGACCCAAATTTCATTGAAAAACATTTAAATTATTCATCTTGTGTGATCATATTTCATAATCAGTTGACAAGGTTTAGTCCAGCATATAGTAATTACCAATAGATGAATGGCAAAATAAAATTATCTTGATTAAGTGAAATGAATATTCTATTGAAATTTAAAATTCTATTCTTTCCATGATTGACATAACTGATTAATCTTTTTCACAGAGGAGGAGGTTTCAAAGGCAGGATATTAATTGAACACAAAAAAAGAGAGGAAAATCAATTTGAAATTACGTAGTTTGTGGTTTTAAGACACAAAGCAGCCTCCTTCATTTTTCTCTTCTCCGATTCACTATAGAATAATTTCACCATTAAATGTTTTCTTTTTATCGATGGTGCAGCATAAACAACTGATTACTCATCTATCATGTTTTTAACACCAATGATCAGAAATTGCTAATTTAGATTCAAAGACAAAAAAAAAAGAAAAAAACAAATCCTCTAATTTTTTCTTCAAAAACATATGTATGTTTCACGAAAAAACAAAACAAAACAGATTTATCACTTAGTAATGACCACATGTTTTGTGTGGTCATTAGCAAAAGCAATGATTTACTTTTTCAGTGTGCAAAAATGGTTCTATAATCTTGATTGCAATATCTTATTTAACTACAAAATCTCCCAATGAAACCACATATCAATCAATGTTACGAAGAATTAAGTAGAAAAAAATAACATTCCTCTAAGTTTTTTTGTGAGCAATTTAGTCACAATCAGCTTGTAATCATAATTATATAAAGTATCCATATGGGTAAAAGTTAAGATGAAAGAAAACTCATTAATGAAGATCATAAAAACTTTTCTTGTTTTCAGACAAAATTGATAGCAAAAAACAGACAAACGTACTCTATTTATTCCTGTAAGATAACATTACATTAATTAGTTTTAATTAAATCTCCTAATAAATCAGATTAAGATCAATTAGAGCCTAATGGAAGTTCAGCTCTTGTTTTTGTATCAGCCATAGAACTTGGCTGTGTTCACATTGATTTTCCTCAAAGCAAATTAACTGGTATTTTGAGTCAACATTTTGTGTTCAGATTGAGAGTAGGCCTGTATTAAAATTTGTGTACATTTTTCTAATGTTGATGTGATCCTAGTTTGAATGTGTTTTTTTTTTTTCCAGCATCCACGATATTCAAAGGACAAGTGAAAATTGAAAGTAACAGCAATATTTCTGGATGAGGTACTGCAGTAACTAGGTGTTGGCCTATTTCTATTGATATATCACATTCTACCTCACATGATGTTATTAAAATAAGTATTCATTTTTTTCATAATTTACATTTTTAAAAGTTTGTCGAGATCCACACTCCTGCAATTTGAAATTACAACATCAGTGACCATTTTGATTCCTGGGCATGAAAGCTAAGTACAGCTACATATAATCAGCATACAGACGAAAATCTATACCCTACACGTATCTTCAAACCAGATTGCCTATTGCACAGGTACACATGGAAAAGAGTATTGGACCTGATACAGAGCCTTGAGGTACATGATACAGGAGTTATTTTATAATTGATGTTTTATGCTGGATAAGGTCTGTTACACATTGGACTTGAAAGCAAATAGTCCAGAAGAAGTTACCAGAGTAAGAGGTCTAACAATAGATTCTGTTGTGCAGATTTGACCCTGCCCATGGTGCGCAGATTGTCAACTTTGCGTTGATTACTCCTCAATGTTTTTAAAGATGAAAGTAGTTTGTCAGACATCCCATGTAGGATCTGTCCAGTATCAACTTTGTATTATAATGATTTTTCAATTAATTTTCAAAATCACTGCATAATTAGCATATGTGCTAAGAATAAGATTTAAATTCGAGTCTGCAGTATCTTATAATCTTCATTATTTATATACGTCAACTGATCACATGACTGAATGTCAAAAACTATTTGCTGCAATTACCGTAAACTTCAGTGTTATTTTTCTATAGTTGAAATAAATACATTTATAACAATTAGTTGACAGATTTTTAAATATTTTATCAAAGTACAATATAGCCTATGTGTTTCTGAATTCAGTACTGTCCTAATGCTAAGTTCCAAGATGATCAGTTAAGAATTGTGGACTAGGCGACTCACATACACATGTGCACATGCGATCATACGTTTCTTTCCGTATTGTCTCGCTCCTACCAGTGAACTGATAGTCATAAATTCATTATAAAATGAATAAAACTAACGCAGTGATGATGGATACAGAGGAGGATTAGGCGGATTATAGTGTGTGAAATAGCTTCACAACAGGTTATCCTGGACAGACTTATCTCTGCACGTGCAGATTAGTCAATGGAAATTAGACAGAGATTCGTACATGTGCAGGGGTAAAATGTCTGCTACGTCCAACCGGAGAGAGTGGGAGAAATGGGGTTTAACGTCCACTCGACACAAAGACACTAACTAAGTCATTTCGGGACTAAGACCTGGTTCAATTTTATTTCAATAATTTGCTTTTGCGTAGGGGTCTTTAGCAGTGGGAGGAAACCGGAGGACCAATAGAAACCCACGAGATTGGACAGGCGACCCTACTCCTTGTCACGTACAACAAGGGAATCGAAAATCCGCCAGTTGACTCAATGGCAGACCTTATGATAAAGCGTGCATGTGCAAACCATTCGGTCATCCAACCCCCAACTAGTCTTGTGCAAGTTCAGCAATGACCCATAACCAAACGATGCAACCAATTTGAGGCAAGCAGAATTATTTATGTGGTAACTGTACTATCAACATGATTTGGAGTTTGTCCAGTTCGGAGAAATACCGGGAAACGATATTGTACCACCCAATTTTAAGAATTATAGCCAATTGCATTGGTTTAATTTTTTAAATATATATACCAGAATTACATGTACCTTATCTATAATAAATGGAAATAGAACTATTTCATTACACGCAGTATGTGCTTGCATTTTGTAGTGTCCTTAACATACTTTTTTGAACCTATAACATG